GTGTGTTCACCACCCCAAGTCAAGTCTCCTTCCATAACCATATATCCCTCCTTTAACCTCTTCTACCTCCCCTCAACCCCTTCCCTTCTGGCAATCACCATACTGTTGTCTGTGTTCATGAGTCTTTCTTTTTTTAATTTGCTTAATTCCTTCATTCTTCTTACCCAGCCCCCAAACCCATCTCCTCTGACAGCTGTCAGTCTGTTCTCTGTATCCATGAATCTGTCTCCACTTTGTTAGTTTATTTTGTTCATTAGATTCCACATATAAGTGAAATCATATGGTAAATGTTTTTCTCTGAGTGGCTTATTTCACTTAGCATAGTACTCTCTAGGTCTATCCATGCTGTTGCAGAAGGTAAGATTCCTTCTTTTTTATGGCTGAATAGTATTACATTGTGTAAATGTACCACAGTTTTTTTATCCCCTCATCTACTGATGGACACTTGAACTGCTTCCAAATCTCGTTATTGTAAATAATGCTGCAATGAATATAGGGGTGCATATATATTTTTTGAATTAGTGTTTCAGGTTACTTTGGAAAGTGGAAAATAGTTTGGTAGTTTTTTATAAAGTTAAATGTGAACTTAACTACACAACTCTACAATGCTATTGTTACATACTTACCCAAGAGAAATGAAGACATAGGTCCATACACAAAGCTATACATAAATGATTATAGCAGCTTTATTTATAATTGTCAAAACATGGAAATGACCCAAAAGTTCAGTTGTACAAACATACAGTTTGTACATACATAAACCAACTGCACACAAACTATACAATGGAATACTACTCAACAAAAAAAGGAAGGTACTAATAATACATGCAGAGACATGGATGAATTGAAAGAGCATCATGCTAACTGAAAGAAGATAAATCCAAAAGGCTACACACTGATTCCATTTACATGGAATTCCAAAAAGGGAAAACTATCAGATAACAGACCAGTGATTGCCAGGGGTCAGAGAGTGGGGTGAGTTCATGACTGCATGGGAACACTGTTGGCAGTGATGGGAATAATATGTATTTTGATTAAGGTGGTGGTTACAGAATCATATAAATTACTCAAAATTCATAGAACTGCATATCTAAAAAGTGTGAATTTTACTTTATGCACATTATAGCACAATAATAAGCAAAATAAAATATAGAAAACTGAAGAGGATAATATAACACCACCTTAAATAAATATTTTTCTTTTCACATGAAAAAAAGCAGAACATCTACACTAATAGAGAAACATGCAAATTGGTGTCACTCCACTATGCCCATCAGCCAATCAGAGTGACTATGCAAATTAATCCAACAAAGATGGCGGTTAATTTGCATATATGGGCTAGGAGTGAAGACAGAAGGCTCCAGAGTGAAGCCATGGCTGCAGCGGAGAAGCCAAGCCAAGCCTCGCTGCTGCTGGACCAAAGGCCTGGGTCCCAGGTGCTGGAGGAAAACTGGTGCCGGCAGCCAGGGGAAGGAAGGCCTATTGCGCGAATCTTTGTGCAACTGGCTTCTAGTCTTTTATAATCTTAAGATTAGAATTTGGCTACTATGATAAAATTTTGTTCTATTATGAAACAGAAAAATTATGAAAACTATTTCAGGTATTCTTACTATTCTCACAATCTTTTGTTATTGAAGATTTATGAGTTCTAATCCAGAGACAATAGAGAGCTAACAGTAGTTAGTGGCAAATTACTTAGATTACCTAAAGTTACCTTGATTGTCTCTGTTTCGCCTCTTTATATACTGGCTGTTCATTATCATATAGAAGATATAACCTGGGAATAAAAAAAAATGTAATGCTGGCTGTGTATGCTGAGCCGCTGCGGCTGCAAGCTGCTGCAAAACCTGGGTCTTCGTTTCCTGCTGGTGGCCTGCTGGCCTCAGGGCCTCGTGAAGCCACTGGTCAAGTTTGTTCTTGGCAAAGGGACCCAGTGCGCCTGCATCATCGAGAAATATGACTACACACACCGTTCTGCAGGAGAACTCCTTCAACAGTATGGCAAACTCACTGGAAAGTACATTAAAGATGGAAAGATTGTGCCAGTCGAGATAATCATCAGTTTGTTTAAGAGAGAGATGGACCAGATAATGGCTGCGGATGCTCCGAAGAATAAATTCTTGACTGGTGAAGTTCCAAGATCTGAAGACAACCTTCAAGGTTGGAACAAGACCATGGATGAGAAGGCAGATGTATCTTTCGTTCTGTTTTTTTTTTTTTTAATTGTGATAATGAGATCTGTATTGTACGATGTCTTGAGAGGGGAAAGAGTAGTGGTGACAACAGAAAGCTTGGAAAAGAAAATTCAAACCTATCTTCAGTCAACAAAGCCAGTTAATAACTCATATGAAGAAATGGGAAAGTCAAGAAAATAGATGCTTCTAAATCTGTGGGTGAAGTTTTTGATGAAGTTGTGAAGATTTTTGACAAAGAAGGCTAAATCAAAACTAAACCTGAAAACATCCTTGAAATCATGCTTGAATATTGCTTTGATAGCTGCTATCACAATCCCTTTTTAAGGCAATTTTAATTTTTCATGATCACATCACAATTAGTGGCCAGAAAGTATATAGTAAGACAAATTAAACTTTTTATCTTCCAATTTTTTAAAATTAAATCTTTATTGTTCAGATTATTATAGTTGTTCCTCTTTTTCCCCCCATAGCTCCCCTCCACCCGGTTCCCACCCTACCCTCTGCCCTTATCCCCCCCCCACTGTCCTCATCCATAGGTGTACGATTTTTGTCGTCTCTTCCCGCAGCCCCCACACCCCTTTCCCCCAAGAACAGTCAGTCCACTCCCTATCTATGCCCCTGATTCTATTATATTCACCAGTTTATTCTGTTCATCAGATTATTTATTCACTTGATTTTTAGATTCACTTGTTGATAGATATGTATTTGTTGTTCATAATTTGTATCTTTACCTTTTTCTTCTTCTTCCTCTTCTTAAAGGATACCTTTCAGCATTTCATATAATACTGGTTTGGTGGTGATGAACTCCTTTAGCTTTTTCTTATCTGTAAAGCTCTTTATCTGACCTTCAATTCTGAATGATAGCTTTGCTGGGTAAAGTAATCTTGGTTGTAGGTTCTTGCTATTCATCACTTTGAATATTTCTTGCCACTCCCTTCTGGCCTGCATAGTTTCTATTGAGAAATAAGCTGACAGTCGTATTGGTACTCCCTTGTAGGTAACTAACTGTTTTTCTCTTGCTGCTTTTAAGATTCTCTCTGTCTTTTTTCATCTTCCAATTTTTTTAAATTTATTTTTTGTCACAGGAGTAGACAGTGAATTGGAGTCTAAATTTGTCTTAGCTGTGGTACTCACAAAACAGAGAAGGGCATTAGCTAGTTCTTTGTTTTTATTCAATAAGGAAATCCCTATTATAGTTTGTGCCTTCTGTGAGCAAAAAATTTTAGTATGTGTATATCCCTTTAGTGATTACAATGTGTCAGGGTTAGGGATTCCTCACTTCCTCTTTTTCTTGCAGGTTTTAAATTTCCAACCTGCTTAGTGAATTTGTGGACCAAATTCCAAAGGAACTTTTTGTGTAGTTAGTTCTTGTACAATGTGTTTGGTAAACAAACTCATAAGATGAATTGCTAGAAGTGTTTTAGTATTTATCCAATAATTGACCATATCCTATAGAAAGGTAAGAAAACTTAGGCGCCGAAACCGGTTTGGCTCAGTGGATAGAGCGTCGGCCTGCGGACTGAGGGGTCCCGGGTTCGATTCCGGTCAAGGGCATGTACGTTGGTTGCGGGCACATCCCCAGTGGGAGGTGTGCAGGAGGCAGCTGATCGATGTTTCTCTCTCATCGATGTTTCTAACTCTCTATCTCTCTCCCTTCCTCTCTGTAAAAAATCAATAAAATATATTTTTAAAAAAAAGAAAAAAAAAAGAAAACTTAGGCTATATTTTAGTTTTACTACAACTTTACAAATTTGTGTGACAGGGCATAGTCTGCTTCCAGGGATTGGGATGAGGGCCCTGGAGGCTCAGAGCCTGAAGGAATTGTTGGTTTTATTCTGACATAAATCTGAGGGTCACATGTGTTCCTTATGCTCTATTATATAGTGTTATTAATGATTAAATTGATCTCAACAAAATTCCTAGCACTGGAACCTTGAAATGCATGTACTAGATTTATGGTGAAGTGGTTTGGGGTTTTTGTTTGTTTGTTTGTTTGTTTGTTTTGGGGGTTTTTTGTTTGTTTTCTAGACTAAATATAAGGCTTAGTATAAAGTATAAGAAATCTAATGGTTAAACTTTCCATTTGTATTTTATTTTCTTGAAAATTATTTCATAGTTATTTGTTTAAGAAGATTTAAAAATTACTGCACTTTGGTCAGAACAATAATAAATATATTTTATTAGTGAAAAAAGTGTAATGCTGCTTTAAAGTTATGGTTTAAGAAAAATGGAATGAAAGAAGTGGAAAAGAAGGAGGAGGAGAAGGAAAAAAAGAAAAACATTATAGACTGCTCAACTTCACTTTGGGAATGAGATGTTCATTCTCTTGTGTCCTCTTGGAAGGGAAAAATCAATACTCAATTAACTTTATGAAAAATTGGCATTGTGACCTTCAAACCTTTTCAATATTTTTAAAATATCAAGACCTCTGAAAGATGAAAAAAATCATTATTTAGTTCTTGAAATGAATTTAACTATTTCTGATTTTATATGCAGAGACTTGTCTCCTAGAATAACACTCTGTACTCATATTTTTAGTCCTCCAACTTTTTCTTTGGTGAATTAATGGTTGGTGGGCGTTGAAGTCAAATCCCAATTCTACCGCTTCTTAGCCATGTGGCCCTGGGCTACAGTTTTCTCATGTGTAAAGTGGGATGATACCTTTGTCCTTAGCGTTGACGGAAGATTAAACTAAGAATGTGTGTTTTAGGCATTAGTACCTTGTCCAGCTTGGGTTATATGGCCCTCCAGTGTAGTCCTTGTTGTTGTATAGGTCATGCCACATTCTATTTCTTTCCTCCGTAGGCCATCATGGAGAGTGGCCGGATAAGGGCAGAATCTTACCCTGACAGCAGCACTCTGGTTATTGATGTCGCTGAAAGAGATGATTCTGGTGTTTACAACATAAATCTGAAAAACGAAGCTGGAGAAGCACATGCCAGCATCAAGATTAAAGTTGTGGGTAAGTCCCCCTATCCAGTTTGGCTCAGTGGATAGAGCATTGGCCTATGGACTAAAGGGTCCCGAGTTTGATTCTGGTCAGGGCACATGCACGAGTTTTGGGCTCAGTCCCCAGTGGGGAGCAGGCAGGGGGCAGCCGATCAATGATTCTCTCTCATCATTGATGTTTCAATCTCTCTCTCTCCCTCTCCCTTCCTCTCTCTGAAATTAGTATATATATATAAACTGTGGGTAAGTCCACTGGATCAGTAAACTTCTAAAGACAAATTGGCATGTCTAGATCATGAGTACACTGTCAGCTCTTGATTCTCTCAACATTTCTGGGTAGGCAACAAAGAGAAACATAGTTTGGCTATATTTTATAAATCACTGTCTTTCTTTCTCTATCTTTGACACTTCTTTTCTTTCCTTCTCTTTTTCTTTCCTTCCTCTTTTTTATTTTTTTATGGCATGGAGGACATACTGCAGGAATGAGTAACTGAGACAGCCATTCTGGGTGCTGGTCAGTAGCTCTTCATAGTCATATTCCCTTTCGGTGTCCTCTAAAGTTACTGAAACAAATGTTAAATAATTTCCCACATCACAATCATTATAGAGGAGTAAGATCTGTCTTGGTCCTTCGATGACCATCTAAGTACATTTTTCCTGAGCCTGAATCCAAGTGAAATGAGTCTAGCAGATTATTGGTGATCCTAGGTTTCATGAACTCTTTATCGCACTTCAGATGTCCCTGAAACATATTTCAAATTGACCATAAACTAAGGTCATTTTATCAGGCACTGAACTATATTTACAAGACATGGTGACTTATCATTTTTACTTGGATTTTTATCAGTGAACATCTTGAATCTTCCAACTATTGTAAAATTCACAGTAAACCATCCTGGATTCAGTTCTGCTGGAAGTTCACTTTGTAGTTAAAAAAAAAAAAAGAAAACAAAATCACATTGGACATTACTTAGTTACTATTCTCAAGGTAAAGAACAAGAGTCTTGGGTTCCATGTGGGGCTTGTTATCTAAGTTGTGACACTACTTTAAAGGATTCTTATTTTTAATTTTTATTTGGCTTACCTTCTCTTATCTCAGATGAAGCATGAGTTTTTGCCCAAATTAATTACTCAGTGCATTTCAGTAAACATGCAAAAGTTCTCAGAAATAAGGCTGCTTCTATGATTATCACCAAAAAGCACATTTTTCCAATTAACTTTTTTCTTTGCACGTGCTCTCTCTCTTATTTTATTCTATGTTTTTGCTTGCTACAGACATCCCTGATCCTCCAGTGGCACCGAATGTGACAGATGTGGGAGACGATTGGTGCATCATGAACTGGGAGCCTCCTGCCTACGATGGAGGGTCCCCAATCTTAGGTAACTGCATGCTGGTCAGTCTGTGGAACTGCCACTGGAGTGGTGTCCTCAATGCATGTCAGTACAAAGTACATTAAAAATTAGTACAGAGTACATTAAAAATTTGGTATTTAGAAGAAAATTTATTATACTGTCTTTACATATCTTTTCAAAATGAAATACTGTATTTTAGGATGCTCTGTACGTATTCAAGGGTTTTAATAGCCCTGATGAATATTGTATGATTGTGTGTTCTTTTTTTTGGTTGACATTTATAGTTGACATAATATTTAATTATATTGAAACACTGTGAGTCTAACTTTAAACCATTCTAGTAAGTAAATGTCTAGTTTTGTAGAATTGTGTCTATGGGGAAATTTATTTTAGAGTTAAATACTTAGAGAATTTGCTTTCCCTATGGAACAAAAATTCTTTTCTACTCACTCAAGAAACTGGTCATTTCCCCTTCATATTGTTTGGACTCAGTGCTAAATCTATTGCTCACCTATACCGACTCTATCAGTTGGTATGACCTACATATCTATTATCTATTTTTCTCTTTTCTTCTTAGTACAATTCTAATTTTTTTCTAGTCCTGTTATTTTTCTTTCTCCTATGCTGTTAATACTTGTATTCCCTATAATCTCAAACAACTGATGAAATAAGGTGGTTTAAAAATGACATACATTGACTTAGAGTGCAGAGAATATTGGAAAATTGAAGAACTTCTAATATCTGACAAAGTATAGTTTTAGAGACCAAGGGGAAAAAACTTGCGTTTCTATTTTATGTCATCTGTAGGATACTTTATTGAGAGGAAAAAAAAGCAAAGCTCCAGGTGGATGAGGCTGAACTTTGAGCTCTGCAAAGAAACAACTTTTGAGCCCAAAAAAATGATTGAAGGCGTGGCCTACGAGGTCCGTATCTTTGCCGTCAATGCCATCGGCATCTCCAAGCCCAGTATGCCCTCCAAGCCATTCGTTCCTTTGGGTAAGTCAGGAGAGAAGTGTTCTTGTCCTGGAAATCATTACCCCAGATTATGACTGCTTCCTTCCGACCTCCAACTGGAGCCGATCTGGAGGCTGCTTAGAGTGGTGGGTGAGCAGGAGGGTGGAGGTGGTTAGGAGTAGTTTTCTGACTAAGAAATTTGGTAGAGTTGAATGTCTTCCTAATGTTGGCCCTGGAATTCATGACCAGAATTCCAATGACAGCTGTGGGTGGCTCCAGTTTCTGCTCCCCACTGAAAACATGTTGCTGAACTCTCTGACACATGACCACACGCCATTTGTCCTTCTGAAGGTATAACCCAGCACCTTGTGTAAACACTGTAACTACAACAGATTGAGATCATTCAACAAAACACGCTTCAGAACTAGTCTTTGCTTTACAAGCACATCTTAAGTGTTACCTATTGAACCAAAAAAGTCAGTTCAGCAAAGACAAAGAAACAGAAGGTGAGGGCTTCGCTATTTTATGGTAGTGAATTTTTTTTTCAATAGAAAGACTTAATACAAGAGTTTGTACTTTAGAGAGTTATGGGAAATGTATTCTAGATCATTAGATTCCAAACTTTGACTTTTTTCTAACTTCCTAGGGCCTCCCAGCCTCCACACTAACCTCCCAAATTGGAGGGAGCATGTGGCAGCATTTTAAAATATTTCCATGTTGCCCAGCCAGTGTTGCTCAGTGGTTAAGCATTGACCTGGGAACTAGGAGGTCATGCCTGGGTTGTGAGCTCAATCCCCAGTGTGGGGCATGTATGAGGCAGCCGATCAATGATTCTCTCTCATCTTTGATGTTTCTCTCTCTCTCCCTTTCCCTTCCTCTCTGAAATCAGTTCTATATAATAAAAGCCTAATATGCTAAGTGTTCGGTCATCAGTTCAACCAATCAAAGCATAATATGCTAAAGATATGCTAAAGCCGCTCAACCGCTAGCTATGACATGCACTGACCACCAGGGGGCAGATGCTCCAACCAGTAGGTTAGCTTGCTGCTGGCGTCCGGCTGATCGGGACTGAGTGAGATGGACCAGACATGCCCTGGAGCCCTCCCATGGTCCCTCCCTGCCTGGCCAACCTCCCGCATCCCTCCCTGGCCTGTGCTCTCTCACAATCCAGGACCCCTCAAGGGGATGTCAGAGAGCCAGTTTCGGCCCAATCCCGCTCAACGCAGGAGCTGCCCTGGTGGTTAGTTCACTCCCACAGGGGGAATGCTGCTCAGCCAGAAGCCGGGCTTATGGCTGGCCAGCCTAGTGGCTGTGGCAGGAGCCTCTCCTGCCTCTGTGGCAGCACTAAGGATGTCCAACTGCCAGCCTAAGCCATCAGTCAGACATCCCCCAAGGGCTCCTGGACTGTGAGAGGGTGCAGGCTGAGCTGAGGGACACCGACCCCCCCCCCCCCCCCAGTGCACAAATTTCGTGCATCAGGCCTCTAGTAAAAATATATTTTTAAAAATAAAATGTTTCCATGTCTGGCAGATCTTTGCACACAGCATATGCTTGAGGAGTCTTCATTTAATTTTACTAAGACATGGGTCTTCTGTGTATATTTTTATTTGTATCCTAGCTCATTTTATTACCATTCCTGGTGCCATAAACTCTGCAGATAATAATTTCTTCTTTTTCTCTCTCTTTTATCTTTGAAGCTGTAACCAGCCCCCCTACACTTCTGGCTGTTGACAATGTAACTGACACCACTGTCACAATGAAGTGGCGGCCCCCAGATCAGATCGGTGCCGCAGGTTTAGATGGCTATGTGCTAGAGTATTGCCTTGAAGGAAGTAAGTACAACTCGTGGTTAAATGAATACCATCATCACTAGGTGAGATATGCTCCCCCTTTCTTTTGTTTCTCTCTCTTGGGAACTCATCTCTTGCCTACTGAAAATGACAAGCCAAAGGTCATCCTTCTAAGATGGATAAAAATTTAGCCCTTCTTTGATACTCAAGGCTAGCAAATTAAGATCTCAAAAATATTCTACCTTGGCTGCCCGATTGGACAGCACCATTGATCTAAGTCAAGATAGTTCAGGGACTTCCAGTTCTTGAATTTGTGGAATTAAATTGTACCAAAGCAAAATAAAAGTCTAGTTAGAAAGAAGCAAATTAGAAATTCTCAACCCTAAACTGAGCAGAGGTCAGCAATCAAAAGAGCTGCCTCTTTCTGGGGAATAAAGAGCAACTACATACTAGTATTTGGCTCTTTGGTGACCATCCCCTGCCTTCTAAAGTGGGAAACCAAGAGGAAGAAGAAGAATTAAGGACAACTTTTTAGTGTTGAAAAGAAGCAGCGTTAAATCCCACATGAGGCACCAAATGGATTGCCCATGTGGCAGTAACTTCTCTCAGGGCTTTGGATACCTAAAAATTTAATCACTCAAATTTAGGAGCAGAAAAGAAACAGGAAAACAATTGCTGATAAAAATCATAGAAAAAGAGAAAGTGGCACAAGAAAATATGGGCCAGAGTGTACCGAAAACCAAAAAAGAGGTGAAATTCACTGAAAGCCTCTAATGTTTCTTGATTTCTTCCTTGTCATGGTTTGAAAATATATGAATCAAACTGCCCCAGCTCTGGACTCGGGCTCCATTCTAGACGATGGTAGGTAAACCACCCTCAGGGAAGCACACTCATATCCACAAAGGATGAGCCAAGGGGTAGCCTTCAGGAAAACTCTTTGGACCCAAAACTTTCACTTGGATCTTACATGAAGGACAGAGAGAGACCACAGGGCACATTTGGGAAATCAGGAGTGTGACTCCAAATGCACCTCCCCAGGAGGCAACACCAGGATGGAGAAGAAACTTCTTATGAAGAGAAAACTGCTGAGAAAGAAACCCCTGGCCCTGGATTGGGGCACCTGTGGGAATGACCAGGGGTGGTCAGGTGGGGAGGAGGGGAGGGGGGACGAAGCCTCCTGGTAACACTCAGTTCCATTTACATGCGCTGCGCTCACAGAGCAGGAGGTTTATTTCTCCGGGGCTTAGAAAGCCACTAACCAAAACCAGGGGGACATTCTAAGAAAGTTCCCAGAGTTATCCCAGCATGGGAGGGGGGCAACAGAGAAATTCTTGAGAACTTAATATGGTTGATTCCCATTGCATTCCCCTCCCCCACAACACTATTTCAAAAAAATCATGAGCACTTCACTCTGTTGTCTGTATCACCCAGAATTCCCCAATCTTATATGTGTTGTGGCTGCTGACCATGAACCTTTTGTTTATGTATGACCCGGAGCAAATTCTTTACTCTTTTCTTTCTGATAGGTTTAAAAAGTAAGAAGATACAGCAAAATGATACATGGCTGTCATTTTGATGTTGCCCACCTTAGATAAAATACAACGAAGTGTATTTTACATGATTTTGTGTGTGGTCTGTGTAGATATATATGTATAGGCCTATACATATATATATGTACACAGTCATTATTATGTATATATTTTGCCACATAACGTTTTGGAATTAGCTTTCTATGGAACGTGTACATCTTTCTTCTTGCAGTCTTTTCTTACTTCTTTCATGTGGCTGACCTATTCTTCATTCTCTTTTAATGGCTGTTGTCCTCCAGACTAATTTTCTGTAGTGTTTAATGCTTTTCGACATGTCAGGTTTTATTCTGTAAGAGAACTCTTCCTTTTATAAGATGGTGTGTTGGTTTTGACTCTGCCTTTCTCTTGTTTGGTTTTCTTTTTGGTGTTGTTTTTTTTAACGCCTGCAGCATTTTACTCTTCTCTGTTTTCTTCCTTCACTCTCGCTCCTTCTTCTCTTTGCTTCCCTCAGCGAAAGTGGTTCAGAGGTGAAGGGCTCAGCTAGATTTGTTCCCCTCGGGTCCCATTGCATCCTGTTTTCTCTTGAAATTTTCTTCTTTACTAGTTCTTTGCTCTTTCGTGCACGTTTTCTGCCTCCTGATTTCACTTGCTCATCAGTTGTCTCTTGACTATGAAAATGTCAACACAGTAGTTCCCAAACCAAGCATTGGCTTAAAGACGTATCTCTTTTTCCAAGTCCTAAGTAATTTTTATTATCTATATGCACTCCCAGCCACCAGGATATTCTGACTTCCTGCTCCTTCTCCCTGATACTAGTACTCCTAGAAGGGTTGGAATAAGGCAGAAGAGAAAGTTCTATGGGAGCCAGTGCAGTCCCCACTCCCCCAGTACCCAGAAAGTCATCATGCCAAACCAGTGGGGTGTGCCCATGACCCCCCCACCCCTGTGAGCCAGCACCATCTCCTCCACTCTTGCAGAATGCAGAGACCAGCTGGCTCCCTTGTCTTCTTGACCAACAGCTTGCTCTCATGGCAACCAGGGGCTGCCTCCTCAGCGGCTGGGGCAGTTTCCATTTCCTTTGAGAATTAGAGCCCTCGTAAGACAGGGTGGGCCTTATTATGAGTGTCCTCACTCCCAGCCTGATGCATGAGCCCCATCACGGGAGCACTTCATTGCCCGGGAACTCGGAGGACCCGCCCAGGCTGGGGTGGCTGGGGCAGGAGCAAGGATGGACTGTTCCACCGTGCACTGCTCCCCTGTGGAGTCCAGGGCCCGCTCCTCCTTTCTCTTCAGGGTCTTGCCTGGTTCTTCTCTACCTCTTGCTCCCACAGCTGGAGGTGCTTCAGGCTCCTTTCTCCTCCTCTTCTCTGTGGCCGGTGCCACAGGACAAAAACCACAGTCTGAACAAAGCAGGCCATGCCCCTCCTCAGGAACCCGTCCTGCCCCCCTAACGTGTTTGGTCTCTTCCGTCACTGCTCTGAAGACAAATATCTTTGCATACTTTGCATACTTTACTAACAGAGAATGCTGACTACTGATACATAGTCTTCTGGTGTGACAGTGGGTGTCTTTAATTAATTTTAATGACGGATTCCCAAAGGTACATCAGCAAAACAGTCTGATGAAAATGGGGAGGCTGCATATGATCTGTCGTCAGGTAAAGTATTCTTTGAAAGCTTTCACACTTTCTTACTCTATGATAAAGTTTCTGGGAATGCCCATAACCCAGCATGAAGTACACCCACCGTCCATACACACAAGAGAAGTCCTTTTAGAGATGGAGGGGGGCGGGGGCGGGCAGTGAGTTCATAATCTGGGATCCAAGCCTTCTTTTGTCCTGTGGGCATAAAGCATAGGAACTGTTAGAAGCTGAAATAGTTATTAGCCCTGGATGCTGGCTTGAGGTGGAAGAATTGTGCCACCTCCTTAGGAGGTCTTGGCCCCTGCGCTTCGTTTCCACCTTCGTGGGTATATGCGTACTGTCTTCGTAAATGGGAGCATGATCAGATTCCCTGTCCTCATGTGTGTATTTCAGAGTAATAAACAAACATCCGATAGTAATAAACTAGAGAGATTATATGACTGGAAATTTACTATAAAGTTCTGTCTCTCGTTCATAAGAATAACGTTTTCCTGTGTTTCTGAACTTTAATGTATATGGATGGCTAGATATCATGGTTACATCCTTCATTGTACAATTGCTGCCAAATTCTTGGGAACAGTTATTATGCAAGTGACCCTAGTATCCTGAATAGAGGTTTTTTCAGAAATAACAGAATCTGATTGTCCTTCTTCCTGTTATTTGCATTAGCCAGTATAGGCCATTTTTTCATTTAAGTCTGAAAAATGCCCAGCCACACACGTGATCTGAGTCCAGGCCAAATGATTTAATTATGAGTCAAATACTAATTTGGAGTTGACTGTTAAGATGATTGTTTCTCTAAACACCGTTTTGCCTTCTTTTTCTTTTGTGGATTTTAGCTGAGGACTGGATAGTTGCAAACACAGATCTGATCGACAAGACCAAGTTCACCATCACGGGCCTGCCCACGGATGCGAAGATCTTTGTGCGTGTGAAGGCTGTGAACGCAGCCGGTGCCAGCGAGCCCAAGTACTACTCGCAGCCCATCCTCGTGAAGGAAATCATAGGTGGGTGGCGAGCCTTTCAGCATGTTATCTCCCTTTTACATTATTTGCTTTTATTTCTTAAATCCCTTTCTCCTTCAAAACTTTTTATTTTGTTATCACTCCTTTGATATTGTATTCATGCTTCCTGGGAGTTGAAAATAACAAAACGGCCCAGCCAGTATGGCTCAGTGGTTGAGCACTGACCCATGCACCAAAAGGTCACTGGTTAGATTCCCAGTCAGGGCACATGCCTGTGTTGCAGGCTCCATCTCCAGTAGCGGGTGTGCAGGAGGTAGCTGATCAATGATGTTTCTCTCTCATTGAAGTTTCTATCTCTCCCTCTCTCTACAGTCAATAAAAACATATTTTAAAATTAAAACAAAAACAAAACCACAGCTCTTTTCAGGCAGTGTGGAGGGTAGCCTGGGTTTATATCTTGGGATGAGGACCAGTTAGTTAACCTCACTGGGGTTCTTCACCATTGACTAGAGAGAGAGAGAGAGAGAGAGAGAGAGAGAACACTAGTAATCTGGACACACTATTTGACAGCTGCTCTAATGGTGTGAGAGTGGCCATGGGTAAAACTGCTGGTGCCTTAGCGTGGATCAAGTCAGTGCCACCAACTGTTACTCTTTCTTATCTTCCTCCCCACCATGCACTTGCAGCTAAAATAAAAGGGCCAGTATTGCCTTGGAGTGTTCTTGATGTGGCATAAAATCATTAGTATTATTAAAGCTTGGTGCTTGAGTACACTTTTTTTTCTATACTTTGCGACAATAAAACACACAGTATGCATGACGCCTTGTGCTGTGTACCGTAGTACAATGGTTGTTTCTAGGAAAAGCCCTCGTGCAACTGAATTAGAGGCTAAACTAGTGACTTGTTTCATGAAATTCCATTTTTACTTGAAAGAATGACTATGTGACAAGCAACGTCTTGTCAGATTTGGTTACCTGGCAGACATTTTCTAGAAAATGAATGGCGCGAGCCTGTCACTTCAAGGAGAACCATTTATACTATTTGTTGTCAACTGGTCAATGAAATAAAGAAGAGCTTTTCAGCAAAAAATTAGAATTTTGGGAAAATGTTATCCATCACCATGGACTTGACAGCTCTCTAAAACTTAAAAATGTCTCCATCATTTATTAGCTATGTGGTCTCGGGTAAGAGACTTGATCTTTCTGAACCTTGATTTCTTCATCAGCAAGATGGAGATAGCAATAGTTTTTACTACCTCAAGAGGGGTGAGAATTAAAGAAATGAATCCACATTGCTTGTTTCACAGAGTGCTAAGCCCTCAGCATATGTGAGCTTTTATTAGGATGATGGTTCAGTTTGCTGACGAACCTGACTGAGTCTCTTTTTCCTCACACGTTAAGTTAGGGAGTTGGAGGATCTCCAGGATCCTCATCATCGACATCATCAATATCATCATTATCTCCTTAAATTTACTACTATTCTTTTTTAAATATATGTTATTAATAAAATATATTTTATTAATTTCAGAGAGGAAGGGAGAGGGAGAGATAGAAACATTATGATGAGAATCATTGATCAGCTGCCTCCTGCACGCGCGCTCCCCCGCCCCCCTTACTGGGGATCGAGCCTGCAACCCGGGCCTGTGCTATGACCGGGAGTTGAACCATGACCTCCTGGTTCATAGTTCAATGCTCAACCACTGAGCCACACCGGCTGGGCTAAAGTTTACTATTCTTGACCATTATGCTAAATGCTTTACGTGGATTACATTATTTCATCCTCACAACAGTCCTACAAATTAGATGCTGTTATCATCCTGCGTTTACAGAACAGGAGTCTGTGACCAGATTGATCTGCTACGCGTCTAATCTATTGTCTGTGACTCTGCAGTCTGTACTTCTCAGCAGAGCATAGGCCCTCAGGCTGACTCCAGGTTCTAATCCTGCCTGTGTCGCCAAGAGCAAGTTCCTTAACTCCTATGCTCCCATTTCTTTATCATAAAGTAAAAGCAGTACATAGCCCCTACGGTGGCAAAGAGGTTTAAATTGGTCCCATCATGAAAAGCATTTAGCCCAGTGTCTGTCACATATGAGCACCCAAGTGATGAGACCGACATCATCCCTCTCAGGGTGTGAAAGTGGTTGTGGGTGAGCCCATGAGCCTTTGACTCCCTGCTCCTAATGGGTTTACAGCAACATGTTCTAGTATCTTCTTGATGTTGAACTAGTGCACATTAATACACAGTAGGCTAGAGTTGCCCATTATGCAGTTCATGATAGCACAAGGGAGAAAGTTACTATAAAATGCCAACAGAATCATCTCAATAGCAAGTCCTCAGTGCTAAATCTCTTTTTTTTTCTTTTTTTCTGGTAAGAAAGAATAGGTAGTCCTACCAGCTAATGTGGTGTCTATAGACCTTAAATGGATTGTTCATTGGAGAATATACTCCCTGTTGGAAACTATGAAAAATATGTACAAGGTCCCAAGAGAAAATTTGGTGTTTTTCTATAAAGTCGCTTTAGACTTATAACGGCAATAAAAATAGGAAGTTGCAATAAAATCAAAGAGGTCAAGGATAAATTTTTTTGTGTTAAACTGTTAAAACGTTTCTTGGAAGAAAACATTTGGAACCAGAGTTACCATATATTATCTATTAGTGGCCCATCTAAGTTTTCCTGCAAAGGCGAGCAGTGAGCATCACAGCAGTATGCCAATATAAGGCTATTTCCAGTGTACTGTACTGATCACCAAATTGTGCTCTGCTCCTCTCACTCAGAGCCTCCAAAAATTCGCATCCCACGGCACCTGAAGCAAACCTACATCCGCAGAGTTGGAGAAGCTGTCAACCTGGTTATACCTTTCCAGGTAACAATTCAGGGCTCGCTCGTTTTCTCTTGCAATGCTGTGGTGTTTAAGAAGACAGGGGAGATGCTCTAGTGTTGACGTTCATCAGGACTCAGGATTTCCTCCAAGGGAGACAGCTAAATAAGGGAAGAGATTTGGGGAGTGATGATCTGCTGCTGTGAAAGAGAAATCTATAAAACCGCCATAGATGTTCCTTCTGCATGACACAAATGAGACCTGAAGCTCTGGGACTCTGGTGGGGCAGGGAGGAAACATCGGGGAGAAACCAAAACAAGAAATGCTTGGAGACTCTGGCCCTACACATCTGTAAAACTGACCTTCATTCGCAGTGAAGTTCTCAGGAAAACAACATGGGATTACTTCTCGCCATTACCCCAAACCAAGCAGAATTCCAATAAGAGACATTACTGAAATTTGATGTCTCAATGCCACTAACTGAAAAAAAAATGTGAACATTGTTAAATCATTGCTCCAGCGAAAGAATTTGTTATTTATAAGATTAACTAGACTTTGCCTGCAGTAGTCAGTTTTGGTCTCTCTCTCTCTCTCTCTCTCTCTCTCTCTCTCTCTCTCACACACACACACACACACACACACACACATACACACACACACACACACACACACACACTGCATCATCACACCCTTACTTATTTGACACCTTTTTTTTTTGCCTCTGTTTAATGGAACTTTCTGTGATGGAGGAAATGTTTATATATGTGCTCTCCAACACGGTAACCAGCAGCCAAATGTGACTGTTGAACACTTGAAATGTGCAACTAGGAACTAGTGTGAATTTTCAATTTTTTAAAATTATAACTAATTTCAGTTTAACTAGCCACATGTTGCTCTTATATCAGATAGCATGGCCTTAGAATTTAGGTCCCTGTGCACATTTGAAAACACACACACACACACACACACACACACACACACACACACACAGAGTTCATTCAAGCTCAGAGCCCCATGAAAACCAAGCTAACAAGACAGTCAACTCAAGCCAGGGGGCCCACACCTTAGAAGAGGCAGTTTGTTATCTTCCACATACACCCTGCGTGCAATCAGAATGGAAGCCAGGGAGGACGTGAGTGTAAACACAGTAGAGGGGGAAGGAGATGACTTGGCAAGGTTCCTCCCACTTCCCTCCTCCACAGGCTCAGATAAAAGCAGGAGTTGAGACAAGGCAGCACTCAGGACTCAGCCCCAGTGCTGGACTGCAGCTGCTGAATCATTTCTATCGCTAGGGCTGATCCCAGATCTTGGGCGTCTGTGTGTTTCATTTCTGTCACTGGGTCTGGGAGAGGAGAGAGCATGAGAACAGGGACCTCATAGGTATGGCCTCCCAGGGGCTGCTTAGCTGCCAGGAAGGGGCTGACAAGACTGCTCCATGTTTGTATCACCTCTAGAGTTCTCATAGGCATTTTCTCATTTAATTTGAAAAAATACCTGGTGAGGCAGGAAGGGCAGATTTCTTTATCCTCGTTTGAAAAGAGAAGAAACTGATGGCCAGCGAAGTTAAGTGACTTGCCCAAGGTCACACAGCTAGTAAATGGTAGTACCAAGAGCAGAGTCTATGTCTCCTGACACTTAATCCAGTGCTTTTCTTACTTTATAGGTTCTCAGAGAACTCAATAACCCCTCCCCCTCCTCCAATAGTTAAGAGCAAATTTTAAGGAAAGACCTGGAATTGTTTTTCCTTTTCTTAACCATTTGTTCTCTCCTTTCCCTGTGCAAGTCTAAGCACCCCAGCCATTCTTTCAGCTCTTTGGGCGGGGGTTTGATGTGTGTCTTTCACATTCCTTATCAATAAGCCACACTAGGAGCCGGAGGAAGGCCATGCCTCACCGGACTGAATGAATGTTTGGTTCCCACCTTCGGGGTGAGCCTGGGAGCTCAGGAATCCTAGGAAGTTTCTTTGTCATATAAACTGAAACTCATGTCCATGAGTGAGATTATAATTTTTCAAAGTCTGCTTTTTTAAAATTGATTTATTTCAGAGAGGAAGGTAGAAGGAGAGAGAGAGAAAAAAAAAAACACGTCAATGATGAGAGAGAACCATTGATTGGCTGCCTCCTGCACGTCCTTCCCCTGGGGATAGAGCCCGAAACCCGGGCATGTGAAACACTGACCGGGAATCAGACTGCAACTCCCAGTTCATAGGTCAACATTCAACTACTGAGCCACTCTGGCTGGGCACAAAGTCTGCTTTGAGAGAATAGTTTCAGCAGCTATAAAAAAAAGTGAATTATAGACAAGTCTGAAATGAGCTGGAATAAAAGGTGGAATAATAATCATTCATATTTAGATGATATTAATAAAACACTTACGTAGTGTACAGAAGCTTTCAAAGAACTTATCTTTATAACCACCCTGTGAGGCAGCACTGTCCTTATTTTACAAATTGGGAAACTGAGGCACAGAGAGGTTAAGTAACTTGCCCGAGGAAACACAGCTATTCAGTGGTGGAATCAGAATCCACATATAGATTCCAGGGCCCCAGGGCCCATGCTCTTGACCCTTATGCTGTGCTCTGCAGGCTTTGGTGCTAGAGAGACCAGCCTGTAAAACCTGGTTCTAATGCTTCCTTAGCTGCAAGGCCTTGGGCAAGTCATTTAATTCCTTATCCAAAAAATGAGGATAATGATACCATCTTGATATGAAGATTACAAGAAATAATAAACTTCATGTACCTAATGTAGTGCCTTGTACGCAGAATATAACTAAGGCAGCGGGAATTACTGTTGCTGCTATAGTTGCCCACCACCAGACTCTTTGCCAACTTTGCCTTGAACAGAGCAAGACACTGTCATTTTTTTGTAATAGTAGAAAAAAAAATCTTGAGACAATCTGATTTCCCTCCCCCTCTACTTTCTCTGTCTTCCTTTTTAGGGAAAACCAAGACCAGAATTAACTTGGAAGAAGGATGGTGCCGAAATTGATAAAAATCAAATCAACATTCGCAACTCTGAGACTGACACGATCATATTTATCAGAAAAGCGGAGAGGAGCCACTCAGGGAAATACGATCTGGAAGTCAAAGTGGAGAAATTCGTGGAAAACGCATCGATCGACATCCAGATCGTGGGTAGGTTTGGAAGAAGGAACTAGAACGTCCTGTCAAATCAGTATTTGGACTACTTGTCATTAAGGCTAAAGCAACAATTTGTGTGAGGCTGGCTCTACATAAAATTCTTTTTAAAAATTTTCTTAACATAAATTAGTAAGACTTGTTATCATTTCAGAACAATTTTTCACTAAAAGGACTAATCATGGGAGATGGGGCATCTATATTAAAGAAAATTGGAGATGGAGGTTCAATATTAAAGAAAAATAATGGATATACTTTTTAGTGGAAAACATCTGTATTGCTTTACTCTGTTTCTCTCAACTCCTCAACAATAGGACTACTTCCTGTGTTGAATTCTTGCATAGAAAACCTTGTAGATTCTGGACACAGCCAATATCAGCTTACATTTCCAATTAGGCAGCCTAGCCTTGTGATTCAACGCCAGTAGGCTGCCCTGGAGGGGTAGTTAATACGGTCTGAGATTTCATTTTAATTTTCTTTTCAAAATCCTTTTTCCCCTCAGGAAGATGAAAATCAAGAGTTTCCAGATAAGCTTAGCTAGAGTGCATTCCACTTCTCTGATGTTTAAGAATGGTGCAAGAAATGTGGGTAGAGATGCAGGCAGGGAGGGCGCTTTTGAAATGGCCTCCTGATTCATGGCGTAGGTTGGGAAAGAACGCGGGCTCTCAATGATGCTACTAACTAATCTCGTAGCACGACCGGGACAGTTAAAACTTGTGAAGATTGAGGATGTCTAGGGAGAGATTGTTCTCCTTTCATGGACAGCACCAAAGCACGATGGAAATGCGGTCATTAGTGGGTACCCGAGCCAGAAGGCTGACAAGAAGAGCATGGTAAGGCCTGGCTTTCTCTGATTCAGCACCAGCAAAATCACTTTTCACCAGAAGTGAAGGGAGAAGTAGGAGGTCCTCTCTCATGAGGAACCCATGGGGCCATGGAGAGATGAGCTGACTTAAGAGTCAGACTTGAATCCCAGCATTGCCGCTTAAGAACAAGTACACATGGACATCATTTTGATCTCCATCTTCCTTGTCTATCATGTAGGTTCACGAATACTTACTTTGCTTGGTTATCATGAAGCTAAAATAATGGACTTCAAGCCCCACCTTTTCATAAACTATTTCTAGCATGTCTCTCCCCCACCCCCCGACCGGATGGGTGTTATGTGACAAAATGTGTCATTGAAAGCAATATCTCTTAGCTAAACATAGGCAGCTTGAGAGCTGGATCAATGGATGACTTTGAAAGGGAAGTACTGCATGTCTTGAATTTCCTTAACACTGAGGGCTCTCCTCTGGACTGTGGCTTAGAGACTGGCAGTGAATCCAGAGGTACCACATTTCCTTCAGGTGGTACCTCCATCCCCATCAGACTTGCTCAATATTTGTTTTCTTAGATACCTAGTCAAGTTTAGATGAGCCAGTACTTTCCTGATGCTTCATATGTCTCAGGTCTGCCTAGTGACAGGGGATGGTCCCTAACCCCTACACCCCTGTGTTTCTGTTGCATTTCAGCAGGAGTGGACCTATGGACCCCAAGATGCTCACTCTGCCCAATGCACTTCCCAGAGATCACTGCACCATTGCCTTGTTGTGGCTACAAATACTATTCTTCACTTAAATTCCTATAGTCTTTCATACCTTCCATAAACATTGTTTTCATTATCTGTGCCAACATACAAGGGTAGGCAAAAGTAAATTTACAGTTGTGATTACATGGAACACAAAGTTTATTCTTGTATTATTTATTAATTATTGTATTATCTTTCATAGGAATAACTGTAAACCTACTTTTGCCAACCTGTGTATTTATTCAGTCATTTACTATGGATTGAGCACACTTCTAGCTGCTGGAGAAAAGAAATAGGATGGAAGGAAGGAAGGGAAGGAAAGGGAAGGAAGGGAAGGAAAGGGAAGGGAAGGGAAGGGAAGGGAAGGGAAGGAAAGGGAAGGGAAGGGAAGGGAAAGGGAAGGGAAGGGAAGGGAAGGAGGGAGGGCAGCTCCTATTCTTAGCACACTCACAGTCTAGGCCAGTGGTTCTCAACCTTCCTAATGCCGCGACCCTTTAATACAGTTCCTCATGTTGTGGTGACCCCCAACCATAAAATTATTTTCATTGCTACTTCATAACTGTAATTTTGCTACTGTTATGAATCGTAATGTAAATAACTGATATGCAGGATGTATTTTCATTGTTACAAATTGAACATAATTAAAGCATAGTGATTAATCACAAAAACAATATGTAATTATATATGTGTTTTCCAATGGTCTTAGGCGACCCCTGTGAAAGGGTTGTTTGACCCCCGAAGGGGTCGCGACCCACAGGTTGAGAACCACTGGTTTAGGCCAAGGGTCCTCAAACTATGGCCCACGGGCCACATGCGGCCTCCCGAAAACATTTGTTTTTTTACTTCAAAATAAGATATGTGCAGTGTGCATAGGAATTTGTTCATAGTTTTTTTTAAACTATAGTCCGGCCCTCCAACGGTCTGAGGGACAGTGAACTGGCCCCCTGTTTAAAAAGTTTGAGGACCCCTGGTCTAGGCAATAAGAAAGACATAAAACCAAATGATAAAACAATATGATAAATGTTAGAATAAAGGTTTGTATAAAGTGCTTTGGATATAAAAAAGGGCATAAATACATTTGTTTGCTGTCTTAAAATATGCAAAGTACATATATAACTATGGCCCCTAAAAGTTGTAAGAAAAATTCTTTCCTTTATGAACATTTTTGTCAGCAAGTGTATTTTCTCAATTAGAGGTCCCAAACATATGTGGTACCATGGGAATTTCCACTGTTTGCCAGATAAATTTTGAGACTACTATATTTTTTGGTATGGTAAGGGGAAAAAATGAAAAAAAAAATTTAGCATTCATTCATCCATTATAGTATTTAATAAACATTTATTTTGTGCAAGGTACCTACTATGTGCCAGGTATTGTGATAGGCACTAGGGATATAAGGAGAGAGAATAAACATCTGTCTTTAACATCCTGGCTTGTTCATACCAGTCATGGGTGGGGTAGAGAATAAACAAGGCAAACAGTAAATAGACTAGAGGCCCAGTGCACGAATTTGTGCACCAGTGGGGTCCCTCAGCCTGACCTGTGGGATCGGGCCAAAATCGGCTCTTTGACATCCACTGAGGGGTCCTGGATTGTGAGAGGGCACAGGCCAGACCGAGGGATTCCACTGGTGCACGATTGGGGCCAGGGAAGGACACGGGAGGTTAGCCAGCCAGGGAGGGATCATGGGAGGGCTCCAGGGTGTGTCTGGCCTGTCTTGCTTAGTCCTGATAGGCCAGAGCCCAGCAGCAAGCTAACCTACCGGTCGGAGTGTCTACCTCCTGGTGGTCAGTGCATGTCATAGCGAGCGGTTGAGTGGCCTTAGCATATCATTAGCATATTACACTTTGGTTGGCTGAATGGACGTCCAGCCACTTAGCATATTAGGCTTTTATTATATAGGATAATTTAAGGTAGCAAGTGCCGTGAAGAAAACTTCTCCAGGTTAAGGTGACACAGTGTGGCCTAAGTAGAGCAATGGAAGGCTGAACAGTTAGGGAGGAGGTGAGATCTGAGCACAGACCTTAAAGAACTTGTGTTGATAATATTAGGCAAATTTGTTGAACAATTTTAATTTTTCTCTGGTGATTTAGCATCATCTCTTCCTCAGAATAGATATCTTGGCAATAACATGTTATAATTATATTTTGTTATACAAAAGGTAGATAAGTAGACAAGTAGATTGATCGATGACAGACTGTACAGTTATGAGAAAAGTACAAAGGTAGTAGTTGACCTCTAGGGTATATGATTCTAATGTATAAATGAAGATTAAATTATACAGTCAAGTATAAATCAATTATAACGTATTAAATACATTAAATGTACATCGTTATTGCTCTCAAGATAAAAATTAGTGCTATTTTTCTTTTAGTGAATGAAACATCCCTGATATTTATTCTAATCAACAGTTGGGATAGTTGTGTATTTTTAGGTGATTTTCCTCAAATTGTTTTTCATTCAGGAATGGTTCACTGTCATTGAGCACTATCACCGAACCCATGCCACCATTACTGAACTGGTCATAGGCAATGAATACTACTTCCGGGTCTTTGCTGAAAACATGTGTGGCCTCAGTGAGAATGCAACAATGACTAAAGAGAGCGCTGTGATCGCCAAGGATGGTGAGTTGGTAGTGGGCTGATAAAGGGGGCTCTCACCCAATTCCAGTGAGTGGAGGTTTGGTTGAGTTTCCCTGACACCAAACAAGTCTTAGACACCAGCTGGATGTCCCACAATTCCACTCCATTCTGACATTACCCAGAGATAGCATCAGATCCCACAGGTTCCAGCCCACAAGAATGTCCCCACCTCCGACTTCAAATGCCAATTGCAAGTCCAAGCTGTCTCCTGTGCTTCTCACAGGCTATAAATCAGAGGTTCCAATGACCCCCTCCTCAGGTTTGATTAACTTCCTAGAGTAGCTCACAGAACTCAAAGAAACATTCTATCTACTATATCACTGGTTTAATAGAAAAGATTTTAACTCAGGAACATCCAGATGGAAGAGGAGCATAGGCAAAGGATGGGGAATGGGCACGGAATGTCCAAGCCTCAGAGCGCCATCACTCTCCTAGAATCTCCCAGTGTTCACCAATCCAGAAGCTCTACAAACATGTCCTTTTTGGTTTTTAAGGAGGCTTCATTACACAGCCGTGGTTGATTAAATCTCCAGCCCCTCTCTCCTCCTTGGAGGTCTGGGGGCGGGACTAAAAGTTTCAACCCACTAATCACAAGGTTGGTTTCCTTTGGCAACCAGTCCCTAGGTGGTGGTAGCGGTGGTGGTGGTGGTGGTGGTGGTGGTGGTGGTGGTGGTGTGTGTCAAATGCTACCTCATTAACATAAAAAAAGATACCTTTATAGCTCTCCTTGCTTAGGAAATTTCAAGGGTTTGGAGCCAGAAATGGGGATAAAGACCAAATATATGTTTCTTATTATAAATCACAATTTCACAACTAGACATCTGGAGACTTTGGTTTTCAGTAACTAGAGGAGACTGAAAGAAAAAGAAATGTGGTGAAAGGAAATAAGAAAATTATAAACACATATTTTTAAATTGATAAAAAATGTCCAATAATAAATTTAAAAGTAAACATTTTAGAGGAAAATTATATTATTATTGCATTTTAAAAAATGTAAGCTGAATTCATTCCAACTTCTGGGCAGTAGGTATATAAATGCCTAAATTCACAAGGATAGGAAAAAGTAGATATTGACTTATTGAGCTTGGGTTACTTCTATTCTTAGACACCTTCAAAGTAGCTACACGTGAGACCCATGAAACGGGTGAGGCTGAATTCCATGCCTATCATTTCATTTCCTCATCACTGTCACAGTAAAACTCATGGTTGATCAAAATACTCTGACACCAAATTCTTCTCAACATTTTTTCAGTTTCAGATGACCACTCTGCCCCCTGTGGGATATGTGTGCCCTCCAGAATGAATGCGGTGTGGTGTTCACTCGTGTTTTTACATGTTTTTCTAAGTTCAGGGAAGTTTTCATGGCGAGTAAAGTATGCCAAGAATAATATAGTCTCAGGCCAATTTGTGTATTTCTAATGCTTGTTTTTAAGGTAAAGTCTATAAAAATCCAGTGTATGAAGACTTCGATTTCACAGAGGCACCCATGTTCACTCAGCCTTTGGTCAACACCTACGCTATAGCTGGGTACAATGCCACTCTGAACTGCAGTGTGAGAGGAAATCCCAAGGTACCATGTTTGTTAGTTTTTTAATCACATTAGTTAAATTTAAGAATTAACCCGAAACTCTCCCTTTTGTATTTGCCACACTATAAATATAAGTAGGCATACAAACGGACCCTCCAACTGCTATTTGTGTCTTATTCTGGGGTTGGAGGGTGGTATTGTTGGAAAATTAGGTACACTATTTAAGTAGTAAAAAATGTTTACATTTCTTTACTAAATAAGGGATTCATTCTAAGGAAAAACCAAATCACCTATTTTTAAAAGAACTGAGAGGTGAGGAGATGGAAGTAATATTGTTTCACCTGAAAATTAGGTGGAAATATTGATTCATCAAGTTTTCTCTAATAGATTAAGACAAATAATGATACTATAATGCAAGGCAGAATTTAAAGTGTGCTATATTAAGGGTACAGAGTACTTGGAAGGGAGAAATCACATCTGACAGAAGAGAGTTAGAAAGGTTTGAAGGTTTCATGTTGGCATTTGAAAAGAACAAGCAGTTAATGAATGTTGCCCATGGAGACATTTATCTGGGTGGCACTGAGGGAAGGAGCCCTAGAATTTGAAAAATTGCAAACAGTGGTATTTTTTCCACGTGTACCATGAACAGAAATAGGAAAGTCAGAGAGAAGCCAAACTGAGGATAGGAGGAAGATGCTGAATTTGTGTTTAATTGGAAGTGATGTTGGTCCATCCAAGTAGGAATGATCAGTAGGCAGAGGAGAAGTTCACTGGAGCTTAGACAAAGGCCAAGGCTGTGACCCTCAGTTTAGGAGTCCCCAGGCATGGGGGCAGATGAGGAGGTACAATCCATCCCTTGGAGTCATTAAAAAGGAATACCACTGAGGAAAGAGGGTAATGAGGAAAAAGCCAGGACCAAGTGAGCCTCAATGAATACTTCCACTTGAAAGGTGGAAGGAAGAAAGAACAGTGTGAAGAAGACAGAGAAGAGCCATCTCTAAGGTCTGAAAAAGCAAAATCATATAAGAGGTAGAAGAGGGAATGAGGAGGCTGTGCAGTTACATAAGGAAGGGGAAGACAATACGAATAAGGAGTAGGAGGTCAGTGATGTTAGATATAGTTCAGGGGTCAAGGAGAATGGATTCACCTCCCTGGGTGATTAGGTTATGATAGATCTTGAATTACCTGGTTGGAGAAGATCCATTGCCACCAGATGATGAAAGCAGATGTCAGAGGACAAATTAAATGCTGAGGAGGCATAAGTAGCCCACAAATAATTAGAAAAAGATATCAGGAAAATGAAGTGAGGAAATTTGATGGTTATGACACCTTATGGGGATTCTCAGAAAAATGTCCAGCAATATATAGTCTCTTGGATGAGTTAACCTCATGGACCTGTAGATGAAATTGAAATGCAATTGAATCCTTTTGGGAAGATTGCTCCAGAGCTGCCCTGTGAACAAACCTGACTTACTTTTTCAGAACTGTTCATGTAGTGCAAACTTGATCACTAACTGCATGATGTTGCAGAAGTGAAGGGAACCAGGTTTGCTGAATTTATTGTGGTGATAGAAATGTATTCGCCTCAGAAGCTACTGAGGTGGTCCATTCTATCCTAGTACAATGTAAAGAAAAAAAGAAGAACTGCTCATTTGCTCTCTTGCCAAGCACTAAATAGAGCTTAATTTGAGAGAAACTGTGCTCAAATAGATGTGGATTCTTTTTAGGTGTCCTCTCTAAGCTATGCTTTAAAATTCTGTCACTGCTTTGATGGCCTATTAATATGCTAAGTACAGATATGTTTTGACCCTAATTTACTTCAATATTAATTTCAGCCCAAAATAACCTGGATGAAAAACAAAGTTGCTATTGTGGATGACCCAAGATACAGGATGTTCAGCAACCAAGGGGTCTGTACGCTGGAGATCCGCAAGCCCAGCTCCTATGACGGAGGCACTTACTGCTGCAAAGCAGTCAATAACCTAGGGACAGTGGAGGTCGAATGCAAACTGGAGGTGAAAGGTATGACATCCAAGACCTTGGGTGTAGAATAAAATGAAAGAAAACCATTTAATTATTATGCTTACTGCAAAATCCAAATTGTTTGCCAAAATGTTCTGGGGTGGAGGAGGAAGGGGCAAGAGAATTGGGGTAGAGAATACATTTTTACATCTTGCATTCACTCTTGATTTATTTGTGAAGTTCGTTTGACTTGTTAAGTAGACTTACCTTAAACTCTTGCAATTCTTGTTAACTAAAGAAATATTAATTACAGTAGAATGCTGATATGTGTACAGCATGGTGAGAATAAATGAAGTTAAGAGGGTATTATTTTGATGATGTACTCCATCTATAAATAGAAGCCTAGGGCAAAAACTTATCTAAAGATAGAAATTTACACTATTTTAAATTAGTTTACTATTTTGTGAAACTTTCAATACATATGGGTAAGTTTGCTAATTTAGTGTAGACTATTACTTATGTAGAATATAGCATCTACATATTTTAACCAGTTGCTTTTAAAATCTCACTAGAGAACTTCTATTTACAGGTCTACATTTCATTTATACTAGTTTTCTACCCATGTAATTCAAGAAAACGTATAAGGATTGATGTGGTAGAAAAGTTTCAGCATAACCCGTTGTCTTAATCAGTTTTCATATTAATTGAGTATAGTCTGTATAGTAAAGTTTTTTTCTTGGCAATCAAAACCTACTTTGGGACACATGATTCTAATATCTTTTCTCTCATCCGTATTGTATCACCTTGCCTTTCTGTGACAGTGAAGTCTTTTCTCTACCTCTTTCTACCTCTTTATAGTGAAGAAATTATTATCTAAAAGTCAGAAAGATAATCTTGTAATATCTATTTTTTGGAAAAATGTAGTAAATGCTTAGAGTACTTATGTTAAAAAAGTTTTTAGTCCTAAATTTAGTATAAAATCGTTAAGAAACTTATTGAAAAAAATTCCTTTGGTAATCTTTTTTTTTTTTAAATTATTCTTTCTCTTCTGATCTCTGTCAGTCCTGTGGTAATATGGTACAATAGATTCATAATTGAGTGAGAGAGAAAAAACAAGTTTAAAACATAACATCACTTAGAAAAATTTTAAGGCTTACTCTTGAGATAGTGCTTACAAATGTAAACATTACTTTTAAGTTTTTATTAGCTTAAGTGCAGATTATGGTCCCAGTTGCAATACCTCTGGTTTCTAAACTCTTAGGCTTAATAATTCCAAGGTACTGTTGGTACTTATGTTTCAGCATCCAAAAATAAAAATAAAAACAAAAGCCTAGTGCAACTTCTGCGTGTTTTGAAAATAACTGAATGTTGCTAATGATATAAAATGATTTCATAACTGGTTCAACATTTGGGGGTCCTTCCTAAAAGATAATAATGTTATAGATAGATATAGATATAGATATAGATATAGATATAGATATAGATATAGATATAGATAGATATAGATGATATATTTTTATGTAATTGCATGGTGAATTATATGATAATTGAATTTAATAATAAAAATAATGTATTTTAGTACATACGTTCATAGTAAAATATCAATTGCAACATATTGGTAAAACTTTTGGGTCCTAAAACTAAAGCCAAGGTTGTTTATCGTCAGATTGTTATCTGATAATAGGTGACGTGAATCAAGTTAAGCTGTAAAAATAAAGGTAAATATGTGAACTGAGAACAAATAAATATTGGTACAAATATTCTAATTCTACAGTGATATATCAACGAGTATTTTCCCCTGGAGAACCACTGTTCCTGGAGGGGCAGCAACAGGTTTTAAAAATTCATATCGCACCGGATATTTCTACTTCCTGTTCCATTCCTCTTACATGAAATCGCACTTTGCATGTAAAGCTTGACTTTCTCATTTGCTTCTCATTATATTTTTTTAGCAGCTCGTGGCATACAGTGTTTATGCCATGAACTAGGAAGGCCAAATTATTCAAGGTTATTAAGTAATTAGGAGCTAAGTTTTGTCAGAAAACTAAGTACCATAGCACAGGTCCCCATAAATAAAGCCGGAAGTGCATTTGAAGATACCATATTTTAGATGTAAGATTATCAACACCTGGGAACCAATGACATTTCTGTAATAATTGCATTTTTCACATGTAAAGAGATACGATCTCCCTTTAAGATAGTTTCCAGGGTAGTTTCCTTAGATTTGTGTTGAAATTCAGAAAACTGAACCTTTTTAAATTGCTAAGCTGTAGAAAAAGTGTTCCGAGCATTTTTGATAGGGAAAGGTCACAAATAAAAACAGATATAATATTTAGAAACTTTCATAGTTAAGACTTTCCCCTGAAAAATTCACCAGTAGGATATCTGTAACCCATCTTTCTATTGGACATTTTAGATATTTTCATGGGACCAAAAGTATTTCATATACTCATGAATTTAAATGGACAGATAAGTCTAGGTCCCATTATTAAATCTATTAAGCATTAAATGAGTCTGATAGTATATGTATGATTCTCCCCCAGTTGGAAGAATGGATTAAGAAGTTCTTTGGGGATGGGTAAGAAACTTGATGTAAACTCTATGATGTAGATCTATGCCTGAGTTTATCATATGTGCTCTTTGAATTCCCAGAGGTAATGTCAGCTTTCAAAGGAGGAAAGAATTAGGGCTATTTCTTAAAAGTTTTGTAGATTATACATATAGTCACTTTCTAGGCTGTTTGTTTAAGCCTTGTGTTTATATAGATTAGTCACATTTGGAATCATTTCAGAATACATATTATAGAATACACTAGTCTCACATTAATACCTACTTGATAATTTTGCCTTTTAGAATTTCAACATATATATATGTACACTAATACTTTGTTCATCATCTATGTTTTTCTTTTGTTGAAAAACACAATATATATATGTTGTAGGATTTTTTTTTTAAGCTAATGGTTTGGAAGCTCTTACCATAAATATTCACTGTACAATCCAATTGGCTTTGCCACCTGTTTAGGCAAAGTGGTTGTGCATATTAATAAGTGTTTTACATATTAATGATCCTTTTGAAGTGACTGGATCCCTGCCCTTCATTCCATGTGCTTCTATGTTCCTACATCTTTCACATGACTAAGGATTAATGAAATCACCTCATCATAATCGCAACCATAATTTCATCCGAGTACTCAACTCTGGTTTTAGCACTTTATTAATGCTCAAAACTTCTCTCTCTCTCTCTTTCTCTCTCTTTTCCTTAGTTGTAGCACAGTAAGGATTTTTGAATGTGTATTATCATCTAAGGTAAGCTTTCATATGGATTTGGCATATGAAGCTTATGCTGTCATAAGTCATACAGAGCTTGTGGTGTATGGCATGATTTTCATTATGTAGTCCAATGAAAATAGACTATTTAAAACATCTAACTTTGTAGTTTTTAATTTGTATTTTAGTATCTTGAAATTAACAACTTGTACTTATTCAGCACAACAATCTCCTGTTGACATGAATGCGGTAGAGCATGAATTAAAGCATTTAATGTGGATGAAAATGAGTGATACCCAAGCATTCTGAACGCTTTGCATCCAGGAATGGACATGTACAAAAGTGGCATCATTTCTACCGATATGTGACTTGAAGTCTTTTTTTAAAAGGAGAATGACTTTTCCAAATTTGCACTAAAGAAGTTTAAGAATGTTCATATGGCATGCTGTTTTTGTCTGGACGTGAATTTATTAGCAAGTAGTGAAGTACTTTTCCAAAGGACCATGAATTGTATAGTTTCATGGGTTCTCTCATGAAGGGTACTTTTATTTTTTTAGATATAATTCAGAAACATGAAAGGTAAGTATGAAATATTAGTAGGTATTTCTCTGACCCTCAGAAGGTATTGGATAGGTTTTACTATTTTTAACAAACTATTCCAATGTGAGCCCTAGCCGATTGGCTCAGTGGTTAAAGTGTGAGCCCTCAGACTCGAGGGTCACAGGTTCGATTCTGGTCAAGGGCACGTATTTTGGTTGCAGGCTTGATCCCTGCCCTGGTCAGGGCGTGTGCAGGAGGCAACCAATCGATGTGTCTCTCTCATGTCAATGTTTTTCTCTCTGTCTCTCCCCCTCGCTTCCACTCTCTCTAAAAAAGTATCAAAGTAAAAAATGTCCTTGGGTGAAGATTAACTAACCAAAAACAATTTTTTTTTCCAATTTGTTTCACTCTTGACAATGTATAAGTAGCCAAGTTTAAAGGAGTCGTCTCCTTTTTCTTCTCTAACGTGTTTGAGTTAGAACTTGGTGCTTAATTAAAAAGAACAGAAATAAACCGGAAACAGTTCTTCCTACTGATTCATAACATGGTAATGCATTTATTCTGCCATTCAGTCAGAGCACTTAAATCATCTATAGAGAATCCCAAAACCTCTCAAAGAGTGATAAGTATTTCCCAACCAGTTAGGAAATTAAATTAAGATTAAATAATAGCAGGAAACAAAGGACTTCTATGGGCCTAGCCAGAACTTGCTTTTCCTTCTAGATGTCTAGTGCCTTAAAGTCTAAATATACTAAACCCAGGAGAAGATTTCCGAGCAGGGACTGATTGAATCTTTGTAACTAACTGGAACATAATTAGACACATTTCCAGGCAGCTAGTCCAGGAGTATTGTTTCAGCGATTTTTCACATAGACGGTTTTGACTTTGCCTTTTCCTTTTTGCCCTCTCCAGGTGGACTTTCCTTCTGCAGGCTCCTCTTGCAAGGTGTACCTCCTAACATAATTGAGTCATATATGCGAGATTTGCACTCAAGCAATCCTGAGGAATACTAAGGGCCCGGCCACTGCCCCTGCACTCTACTGCTTTGAAATATGGTTGCAATGAGAAAGCGTTGTCTGTGTTAACACCAGGCACCCAAGTGTGGCCGTTGTTTTTTTTTTTTCTTTTTTTCTTTTTTTCCTTCTAATGTTGAAGAAGAAAAAAATGTTTGCACAAATTGCTTCATTAAAAACTGTAAACAAAATCCCATTTGAAGTCAGTGTTTTGATCATTATTGTCTGTGTTTTGTCACTGTGCTTTACAAAAAGAGCAAGCTATACTATAAGCAAAAGTAGTTACTTTAGTTTAACTTAACAGGCTGTAAATGCTTTTTTCCAGGCTAAAAACCAGTCCAATACACCACGATGAAATCTTGAATACCCATCTTTCTCTTGATCTAAGATATTTTCTAAGCAAAGCAGAATTGTGTATTTCCTACAACCCTGCGTGACACCAGTGGATCTGTGCCTACTTCCCCATTTGAATTTGCTAGAAGACTTCTTAAAGTCAAACAAGTTTTCTCAACAGAAGGGGAAGTGTATTCAATAAACGCTACAATAAATCTGAAGTGTTTGTGTTGAAATGACACAGTCCTGGTTTTTGTGTTAGGGGTTGTGCGCTCAGACAGAACTGAAGACAAAAGGCCAGGAGCCAGCATGCTACCAAACTCAGCCCTGACCTCCAGCGTGTCTCTCTGGCTCGGCATCCTGGCCAAACCCACCAGAGCTCCTGCCAAAACCACCACAGTGACAGAGAGCTGGTGCAGGCTACAGAGCAGCTACAGATGTAGGGTTTGCTAATGGCATCCGTTCAAATGGGTGGAAACCTTCTTTAAAAATCTAGAAGCTGAGACACATTTGTGCAAACCCATAATCTCTCTGGCAGCTCCCTTCCCTCCTCTTGGTGTAGAGAACGTCGCAGTTAAAGGAGAGGAGTAGGAGTGTAAGATACCACACCTCACCTTGCCCCCTTTTTTTCTTTTGGCCTTTTGTTCTAGGAGCTAACTACACTGTGACCTGTCGGTGGGCCCATAGCACCCTGGGACAACATTTAGAAATATCTGCTCTGCTTCCTTTCCATGTGAGAGCTGGGAAGCTGTGAGGGTGGTCCTGCTCCTGGGTGGATGTGTGGCCCCTAACAGGAAGGAGTGAATGGTGCGGGTAGTTGTAGTATGTTTGGGAACAGCAAGGAGAAACTCGAGTTCTTGTCCAAACTATGGTGGCCACCTCTTTTCCTGTCCTGATTGGTTGGTGATCTTGCCTTCCTGGTTGCTAAGAATATTGACCATCACCACATGTTCTCAACAAATCTGAAATAATAATGTGTGCAATCCCTATGCCAAGCCCCATTTTAATCAAAAAATCCATTTCCACGTTATTGACTAAGATATTTTACATAAAAGAAGTCTGGCTCAGCCGGCATGACTCAGTGGTTGAACATCGACCTATGAAGCTGGAGGTCACGGTTCCATTCCCGGTCAGGGCACATGCCCTGGTCAGGGCTCGATTCCCCAGTGCAGCCGATCAATGATTCTCTCTCATCATTGATGTTTCTATTTCTCCCTCTCCCTTCCTCTTTGAAATCAATAAAAACATATTATTTATAAATTTAAAATAAATAAAAGTTTTTTTTTAAAAAGAAGTCTGGCTTATCTATAAAGCAGTGAAGACTATATATCTCTACTGCAAACCAAGTAAGACCCTATCTCAATGTGGCACAACCAATCAGCATGGCCCCTGCTGCCTGGTTGCTGGGCCAGAGGACAGTGCAGCAGGTGAGCTGGTTGCCTAATTTAAACACTCATGGTCAAGCTTGTTATGTCATTTATAAACCTAGCCTAAAAGGGACTATAAAGCATCCTTATAAAATACTGGTTCCCCAGTCATTACTTTATGCTCTAACTATATTTTGTACCAGAGAATGTTATTTTTCTACAAGTGATCTCTCTCCTCATATTAAGGGCACTTCCATACCGCAAAGTTCTAATAGGAAAGAAAAAGCCTATTTTAGAACTACAAAGAGCAAAGAATGTCAGAAGCTGTCATTGCTATTAGCTGCCTACACCTTTGTTCTAGTTTTGTGTTAGTTTCACTCTGTTACAGAAAAAGTTATATATCAGAGGAATTTACCAAAAATTCTTTTTGGGAACTAAACATTTATTATATTTTTTAAATGATCACCCTTACTTACTTTAAAAGAAAACCTAATACATGTTGTCATGTAAATTAATACAGAAGTAAGGGAGAAAATCACTAGTTCCAAGAAACATTGGAACAAGGTCATATGTCCTTAACCACTCATTCTTTTTTTAAAATATATATATTTTTTATTGATTTCAGAGAGGGAGAGAGAGAGAGAAATAGCAACGATGAGAGAGAGTTATTGATTGGCTGCCTCTTACAGGACCCCAGGGGGATCAAACTCGAAACCCGGCGTGTGCCCTGACCAGGAATCAAACTGTGACCTCCTGGTTCATAGGTTGATGCTCAACCACTGACTACGCCAGTCGGATATCACTCACTCTTAAGGTGAATTCTGAGACGTTCTATTAAGCTCAACAAATGCATTATTGAATGTTTGATGCATGCATGGTACTGCGATGGGTTCAGCTAGGAACCCAATGAGAAATAAGCCACTTCATGCCTTTAAGGAATTTATAACACATCACACTAATACATGTAGGGAAAGACACAAGCAGAGCAGCACGAAGGTGTAAGAGATCTATAAGGCTTCAGAAGCTGAGTAGCGTGGTCTATGTGCTATAACCCATGTGTGTATCACACCAGAATGTAGTACAGGACATGCCACATGACTTTGTTTTTGTAAATCAAATTAAAGATCACTATGAGCTCCCCACTAGCCAGAGAAATTGAGACATTCTCTCTGCCCTGCTTGGAAGGTCTTATCTCAGGTCCTGGGCCAACTGGAATCTTTCTGGAGCCTAGAAAATGGAGAGAAGGGCCCGGCCAGCATGGCTCAGTGGCTGATCTATGAACCAGGAGTTCACGGTTCGATTCCCAGTCAGGGCACATGCCCCGGTTGCAAACTTGATACCCAGTGTGTGTGTGTGTGTGGGGGGGTGGGGGGGGGCGTCATGCAGGAGGCAGCCATCAATGATTCTCTCTCATCATTGATGTTTCTATCTCTCCCTCCCTCTCTCTTCCTCTCTGGAATCAATAAAAATATATTTAGAAAAAAAAGAAAATGGAGAGAAGTCTCTGCATTCCCATCTCCATTGGTGGCTACAGAGATGACTGTGGTTCAGCTCAATATTTTCCCTTCAACTTGCTAGACAAGTGTGGGGGCAATGAACAGTTCTACCACTTAGTAGCAGCCTTGGACCTGGGCAAGAGGGACTTCTGCAATTTCAAGAGTCTCACTCTAGGGCCAACTTGGAACCCTTACCACACTGCTCCTTCTTACAGATTGTACCCACCCTCACTGCCATGGCTTTTGTGGGCCTTTTCCCTGGGTTCAAACCCCTAAGGAAGAACCATGCGGCCTGTATATGAACCCTGAGGCCCAAGGCATGAACAGAGGCACGTGTTTGCCAGGAGTTGGGGTGTGCAGATGTGACCAGAGCTTGTGCATAAGGCTGGGACATCTACCTGTGTGCACCTGAGACCCGTCACGGTGTGGTGGAGGAAGGAACTGCGATGCAAAGGACAGGGAGACCGGAGACTGGCAGTGGACAACAATATTCTAGCCAGTATTTCTGAAGAATCAGGTAATTCTACATTCAAACCAGGCCTTCCAGGTCATTCTGAGGGTATCCTCATAAAGACTACAGGATAAAATTATTTTTTTTAACCATCTGTTAGCTTGATTTATAACTTCTAAATATTTATGTATGAGTTAGAAAGGTTCGAGGTCAGGCAGCCCCCAACCATCTTGGTTCCCTTTCTTGTATCCTTTCCGCCCCTCCTCCACCATCCAACATCACTCTCACCTCTCCATTCCCACCACTTCCTTCTCCCCACTCACCAAACTCACATCCAACCCTTTATCTCCTGCCCCACTTACGTTCCCTGGAACAGAATTCTAGAAATATACATTTCCTCTTTGGAGTAGAATAAGGGATAATAATACAAGACAATATTACCAATTGTCCCTATAATATTTATTAATTCTAAATTGAACTCTACGTTTATTTCCTTATTTTGCCAGGCCACTATATCACCCTTGCACCAAAGATTCAGGTGATTGCTTACATGTAGATATTTATAAAGGCCTTTGTAAAAACTTTGATAACTTAGAATGGACTGGAGAAACAAGCTCGTCCATGGGATGACCAATTCTCCTGATTCTAAGGGCTGTCATCACCCTCTCAGACACTTGAGCTCTCTCTGACCCCAAATGTACTGACTGGCGCAATCTCTGGCCTCGCTGAACATGTATCTATCTGGAGTAGATTACTAGGAACAAAATACCAGGAAGACAGCAAGACAGTTAAACACTCCCAAAGGGACCACTCAGAGTGTGGCTTGGGCACTGGCTGACTCAATTCACTAGAGGGAAAATAACCTTGCACTCTAGTGAATAATTGCCCATAATTTATTTTCTCCCAAGCGATAGCTTTCGAAAAAGCTTTTTATTCTTTGTGGATAAGCACTTAGCTATCCACAGCAAGAGAGTCCCTCCATTTATTATTCTACTGTCTCCTTTAGCCTAGTCTTGGAGCCCAAGAAAACATCTTAAAGACACCATACACCAATTTGGCATCAATTTTTTTTAAGTTCATGAAAAAAGAAAAGAAAACAAACAAACAAAATATAACCAGGGGTTACCAGCCTCACTGTGGCAAGGAAAGAAGCCATTGTTCAGATTTCGTAAGGCATCCCTCTTGGATGATTGGGACAAAGGGTCATTGGAAAGGAGCCATGTTACAAAATAAATCAAAGCTGGTTTAAAGTCATGTGGTTACTTGGAAAATTCCAGGCACTAGAGAGCCAAATAATGTATCCCCTTTAAGCTATAGGATAAAGTGCCACTGGGCTGTTCATCCGAGGCCCCCTCCT